GGTCCCGGTCCGGTACAGGCGCGACACTGAGGGTTGCGATCCGTTGCCGGTCCCGAAAAAAGACAAAAAGGAAAAAAAAAAAAACAGTTATCGCTTAAAGGGTATAAAGTTTATGTTTAGGGTGATGAAAACATTTTGGAAATAGATAGAAGTAAAGTGGTTGCACAGCCTTGTGAATAGTTAATTCCATGCAATTGCAAGTCTAAAAATGATTTAAATGGCAATTCTTATGTTACATATGTTTTACCACAACAAAAAAAAAAAGGGAAAAAAGGAAATAGCATTTAAAAACTCAAGTGAAATTACACATATGAAAGTCCATTAGAAATTACAAATAGGTATGAAAAATCTAGCAATAACAGCAGTTATTGATTTCCTCATGAGCTATGTGTAATTCAAATGTGTGGACTCACCCCTATTTGAGATGAGCTAGAAGACTATAGAAATCTGATGCTTCTTTTGAACATTGAAGATGCAGTTCTTAGTGTCTCTATTTTTAAAATCTGGATGATTCAAATACCAAATTTGTTTAAAACCAAGTTTAAGCTTGTTGTCCATCTCCAACTCCTGACAGAAAAACACTTCCATTCTCAGGTGACCTGCTCACATGTTTTTGCTTCCTAGGTTCATTGTGGTATNGTTGTCCATCTCCAACTCCTGACAGAAAAACACTTCCATTCTCAGGTGACCTGCTCACATGTTTTTGCTGCCTAGGTTCATTGTGGTATGTGGAAACATCACCGCTGACAGTGTGACTGCTTTCCTGAGGAATTTCCTCCGCCATAAGTCAGGGGAAATCAACACCGAGATTGTTTTCCTGGGAGAGTAAGTGTCTCTGTATGGCTCTATGTAATATTCTTAGAAAATTTAGGAAATAATAATAAACAAAAAGGAAAAGAAAAGTAACATCATGACGAAGGTCACCCTCTGAAAATATTCTCGAATGTATCTTGCCAGATAGTTTTCTGCATATGTACTAATATTGTTTAAGTGATTCTCCATTTGGCACTTAGATTACTCTACATTTATTATAAACATACATGACTATAATTTTGTGTATAAGCCTGGTGCACTTTATTATTCTATTAATTCCTAGAATTGGAAGTGAAATTAAAATCGATGCAGAAAGGATTTTTCCTGACAGTGTTTTTGTTCTATGTAGTTTGCCTTTCCACTAGCAGAGTCCAAGTCAAATATTTTGTCAAACACTAGGAAATACATATACAGTTTAATAAAAAAGATTTTTAAGTATAGTTTAATTATATAAAATGGTTTCTTATTGTTTTATTTTATAATTTGCAATTTTGATTTCTAGCAAAATTGAACAACTTTGTATGTTTTGACTGTCCACTTTCTTTTTTGAAATTCCTCTTTATTTCTTTTGTTTTCTGTTAAGAGGATCATGTGTTGCTTTGCTGACTTTTAAGCACTCAATATATTTTTATATTAGCTCCTTTACATAATACGCTAGATATATTTTATCCCTCATCTACCTTTTAATGTTTTGTGTTTTTGTTCTAACAAAGATGTGCTGGATTTGTAGGTACTCCAATTCATCAACTCGTCCCTTTTGGCTCCTTGCTTTTCTGATATTCTTAAGTCTCTCTCTTTTAGAATTAAGTCAATATTTGTCTGTTATTATGTTTTTATATTTTAATTTTTAATATTTAACCTCTCTGGAATTGATTTTGTGTGATATGTATA